CAGTGCGGGCTGAGATGATGTGTGTCTGCAAGCTGGATTTCTATCCTGGATATAAAATAGACACTGCTGTGACCTTTTTTGCAAAATTGTCTGTTACTGGCTGCTTGGTGTTTTCTTCGGTATCATGAGGTACTTTTTCGTTCCTTTCTCTTGCTTCACTATATGTTTTGGCAATGATAGGCTTTTACCTGAGCTCATACTCTCTTAATTCCTATTTTAGTATTTATTCTCCTTCTGACTCTGCAAGATCCCTCTCTAGAAAACATAGGTGAGCCAACAATATTTTTTTTTCATGGGGACATTAAGAGTGCCAGTATAAGCCTGTAATATATGTTCATATATGGCTTCTTTCAGCCACAGCAAAGCATTGGATTCTCCACCAAGAAAAGCAAGGGATAAAACCAATAGATGCATGAATTGTTCATCCCCTGCACCTCAAGGAAAGAACCTTTGCAGAGAATGCTTAATGGAAATAGCACATACTTCCTATAGAAGTTCCCAACAGGACAAACTTAAACATTGGATTTCCCAAGCTATTGCTGAGGGTTTTAAGTCTACCATGGAAAAAAGTGGTCCATATAAAAGATGTAGAGCAGAACCCCAGTCTTCATGCTCTAAAAAAGACACTGATATTTTGGGAGGTCTCAGGTGATTATGAGGAGGAAGTTGAGTATACCTCCAGGTCCTTGGACTCTAAGTCAATTGATAGGCTTATTATCCTAGGGAGAGGTATTATCTGTAGAAAGGAAGTGCTCATGCCGTTGTACAGAACACTGGTAAGACCTCACTTGGGGTATTGTATGCAGTACTGGAGACCGTATCTCCAGAAGGATATTGATACCTTAGAGAGGGTTCAGAGAAGGGCTACTAAACTGGTTAATGGATTGCAGGATAAAACTTACAAGGAAAGGTTAAAGGATCTTAACATGTATAGCTTGGAGGAAAGACGAGACGGGGGATATGATAGAAACGTTTAAAAACAAAAAGGGAATCAACACAGTAAAGGAGTAGACTATATTTAAAAGAAGAAAAACTACCACAACAAGAGGGTATTGTCTTAAATTAGAGGAGCAAAGGTTTAAAAATAATATCAGGAAATATTACTTTACTGAGAGGGTAGTGGATGCATGGAATAGCCTTCCAGCTGAAGTGGTAGAGGTTAACACAGTAAAGGAATTTAAGCATGCGTGGGATAGGCATAAGGCTATCCTAACTATAAGATAAGACCAGGGACTAATGAAAGTATTTAGAAAATTGGGCAGACTAGATGGGCCGAATGGTTCTTATCTGCCGTCACATTCTATGTTTCTATGTTTCTATTAAAGGACACACTTAGCCTCACGGAAGAAAAATCAGATCTGAGAGAAGCAGACAGGTACTTTGATGATCTGAAGCCTAATAGACCCACAAGTCTCAAGGACTTCAGACTGGCTACAGAATTCTGCTCGGAAGCCTCTTTAGACATCACTCGTATGATTGCTAAAGGTATGGCCTTATCTGTGGCCTCTAGAAGGGTCTTAAGGCTTCACTCGTGGGGTGCCAAATATGCCTCCTAGGCATCCCTATGTGGTCTTCCGTTTCAGGGGGATTTATTATTTGGTAAGGTCCTGGATGAAGCAATACAATAGGCTGCAGATGGCAAAAAAAGCATTTTTGCCACAAGAAAGAAGAAAGCCCTTTCCCTCATCCTGAAGAAATAAACAATTCAAGGATAAATACTTTCAGGACAGCAGGAGCTATAAACCAGAGAGAGAATATTCTAGAATTTCATCTTGGAGAAACTTACCTCAGTCATCGGCTAATAAAGCTTCAAGAGGGAGAGGTTCTAGAACATCTGGGAAGAATTTCTAAAGGTCTTCAGGCTCATTCAGGGATTATAGGAGGAAGACCATGGTTCTTCTACCCTTTTTGGGCAACAAATATCACAGACGGTTGGGTCAATAACATCATAAGAGAAGGCTACAGAATAGAGTTCTCCTCTTACCCAAGAACAGCTTTCTTCGGAAAATCAAGGGTATCAATAGGTACCAAACAAAAGGTTATGATGGAATGCATCTACACTCTTTGGGAACAAGGTGTTATACAAGAAGTCCCAAAAGCAGAAAGATTCCAAGGGATCTACTCCACGGTGTTTTTGGCCCCCAAACCACACGGGAAGTGGCGCCTAATTCTGGACTTGAAAAAAGTAAATTCTTTGCTCAACGTAAGAACATTCAAAATTGAATCCCTACAACTATCATGAAGAACATCAAAAAATGGGAATGGATGACTTCTAAAGATCTGAGGGATGCCTACTACCAAATCCCTATACACAACGATCAGGTCAAGTTCTCATATTCTGGATTCTCGGGAAACACTTTCAATTCCGAGTCTACCGTTTGGTCTCAGCTTGGCACCAAGGACATTCTCGAAGGTTCGTGTTACACTAGTAGACTTTATAAGAGAAAGTGGTATAGAAATTTTCCATTACTTGGACGACATCCTCATCATAGGCCCATCTCATCAGCTAGTGGCTCATCATACTCTAGTAGTGATGAACATCCTTTGGGATCACGGCTATTAAGCATAAAAAATAGCACACTGATTCCTTAACGAAAGATAGTCTTCCTTGGAGCAGTGCTAGATACGATTTCTCATGTGTGTATCTATCATCAGAAAATCAGGAAAGTTCAAACACTAAAGAGCACTGCGGCAAGAGACGTTATGAGTCTGCTAGGTTCAACGATTGGACTGGTAAAATGGGCTCAATGTCTCGCCCTATGCAGAACTGCTTTCTCCTTCAATTCGAAAGCAGATTGGGATCAGAGAATAACTCCTCCTTTTTTTGGTAAGAAGAGAATTGAAATGGTGGAAGAACAACAAGAATCTGGCAGAAGGTTTCCCTTTGAAGGAGCCCTCTTGGAACACAATAACAACAGATGTAAGTTCTTTTGGATGGGGGGCCCACTTCGATTCAACATGGAAACTAGGGAAGTGGACCCAAAAAGAAAGCTGTCTGCACTCAAATTTGAGGGAACTAAGGGCTATTTACAAAGCCATCATAGAATTCCTTCCAATAATCAAGGGCTCCTGGGTCCTGATCAAGACAGACAATTGAGCAGTAGCTTCATATGTGAACAACCAAGGAGACACAAGGAGCAAATCGCTCTTGAGAGAACTGTCATCCCTGATGGAAGTGGACATGAACACCCTTCCAGGGTTTCTATTAGGGGAATGGAAGCTTCATCCAGACATTTTTTTCATGGATAACCCGTTGATCGGGCATACCTCAGATCGACCTGATGGTGACCTCAAAGAACTGTCAGGTAAAGAAATTCTACTCTCTACTTTATCCAGACAATCTGGCAATGGGCCCAGATGCTCTCTCTCTTCCTTGGTCCTTTGATCTGGGGTATGCGTTCCCTGCCCTACCCATGATTCCCAGGTTTATGAGAAAGGTTTGGACAGAAGGCAAAAAAGTGATCCCCATCATCCCTGTGTGGCCGAGGAGATCAAAATGAGTTAGGAACAACCAATGCTTCTCCCTATAAGGAATAACCTGCTAAGCCAAGGTCCAATCTCTCATCCTCATTGAGAACACCTTAAGCTGGAGGTATGGATCTTGAAAAGGATCTTTCTGCATTTAGGCCTTCATGAAGCTGTTATTGCCACTCTTTTAAAATCCAGGAAGAATTCTACTTTCACTTGCTACAATAGAGTCTGGGATACTTTCAGAAATTGGGCATCAGGTAAAAGTATTGATTTTTTGAAACCTCGCAATGCTCAGATTCTGGACTTCCCTCAAGAAGACTTGGACAAAGGCCTTAGCCTCTGCATTATCTGCACTGTGCAATGTCTCATGGGTTTTGGATCCTTTGATTTCAAGATTCTTCAAAGCAGCCTTCAGGTTGAGACCTGCTACCAGATCTGGTTCCCCTCCTTGAGACAGCTTGAATGCATGCACAGCACTTAAATTCACACATGGCACTTGCTGTGCATGGGCATCAGGTATCCAATAGTCCTCTATGGAGGCCCTCCCTCCTCCGTGACATCACCAGTGGAGGAGAATTAAGCAGCGCCATGAGAATCTCAGGGTTTGAAGGGTTTTTATCCTTTATATGCTGGGTAGCCTAATACTACCCTATTACACATTTGTATTCCTTAAGCTATAGTGTTCCTTTAAAGGGACACTAGGCACTATAACCAATTCTTCTCACTGGCACTGTCTCTCCATTTAGAGTTAAACTATTTTCAAGTAGTTTACCATTAAATGAGGGCCCCCAGTGGAGCTATGGCTAAAGCAGAGATTACTCACTGCCTTAGTCATGCCAATTCATATTAACAATGGACACCTGTGATAGGCTGAGATCAGTCAACTGACTCTCATTCATCCACCACTGCCTATTGCTTCCTATTAGCCCAAGCAGCACAGATGGGATGGGCTGTTGGTGACTCTTGTTTAGCATTAAAAATTGTTTTTCATTAAAATTGGATACAACTTGAAAGGACAAACTGCTGATGTATTAGGCAATGTCCATTTGCATAATAAGATATGGTCCCCATGGAGACAATACTGACAATCTCTTCCTGGTACCTTATTTGTTTTTTTAAAAAAAAATTATTTTCATCATTCTGTTAGGTGGGATGGGCACAAAATAAGGTCTGTGGCTCTAAAAATTGGGTCAGTTTGCCAGCTGAAAACATTAAATTTGTTTTGGTAAGATGACATTTTTTATTTTACATTCTTTATTTTTGTTGTCCATGAAACAATCACATTCAACTTGTAAAGACATGTCAATAACCATGAAAATGTTTAAAAGAGAGATAACTGGTACATGTCAAAATGTACAGCACATTTTTTTTAAATAGTTGTGATAAGATTCTAGAGGTTGTAGATATTGGTTCTGGTGTTACGGGTGCCTTGAGGTATGGACAGGAAGTGTGACAGGTAACATTAATGTCTATACATGTTGTCATTATCTGCCGTCTGATTGTCTGCCCCAAGAAAGGCGACACAGTGCATTAGGAACTATCAGCTAGAAACATGCCTAGACTATTGTGGGGAAAAGTCATCAGCCTATAGTACTGTGGGCTGAAAGGGTAGATATTATACTATATGTCACACATGAAACATCAGCTTACAGAGCCAGACCGAAATAAAGTCAAAAGAGTAAAACATTAAATAAATGAACTGTAAAAAAAAAAACATTTTGTACTCATGACAGGCATGCAAGTTAAGCTAAAAATGGTACAGTAGTGTTCGTCACGGTGGCTGGTCACTGGGCCTCGGGCTGCTGCTCTGGGCACAAACGGGGTTATTCGGTCCATAGACCGCTGGTGTGATGCATCCATCCGGTATTCCTAGTTCCTGGAGTAGGGAGGACGTCTCGGAGACATGCATGACAAAGTGGGTTTTGCCCCCTTTCTCCACCAGAAGCCTGCATGTGCCCCATTTATAAGGTACGTTGTGCTCCCTTAGATGTTGAATGAGTTGTCAGAGCGATTGCCACCGTAGGATGGCGTTATGGGCAAATGCAAATATTACAAGTTTTAGAATGAAATGTTGTATTTCTTTAACTGTGTACTTTGTCTATAAGAGATATTGCAAACTGACAAGGTGTTAGAAATGGAACATATTGTTTTTCAAACATGTTTCTTTATGCAATAACCTCTTACCTACTTTCAGTGCATAATATGTTTACGCCAATTTGTCTTCGCTTAATACAAAACAAGTAATGCAATAACATCTTCAAGGCTATGCTACGTCATCAGACTTTAGGAAGTTATCTTGTCAGGAATTTCCCATGACTTACGTTTTAGTTATGGCCGTGTTTTGTTAAGTTAAGGGAGGTCTCTAGAATGAACAAAAACAAAAGAAGTGTTACCTTTTCACATATGAACTACAGAAACCCTAAAATGAGGACACCTAAGGTATAAATAGGTGTACTTTTAAATGTTAAGACACAGAGGAGAGACCTGGAGACAGACGCTGCTCCATCTTAAAATGACACAGAGGCTGACATGATGACATGTTCAGGAGGGTATGTTATTCTATTAATGATATTGCAAGCATATAGTTTTATCTTATAAACTCTGCTATAAATTATTGTAATGCATTTTATATGTTTATATTTATATTTTTATTTAATAAAATATCTAAAAGACAAAACTTTATTGCTTCCAAGACAAACCTTATTTTATATTGTATTCTCAATTATTTATATATTTTAAGTAGAGGATCTCTTGCTAACTATATAATATAATGGCTAAATATATCTGTACGGTTAGCTCTGCTAAGTTCTTTGCTTTAAGACGTTATAGTGGTAAATAAGGGAACCTGCTGCGGTTACAATGGTGTGGCTGTACATGTCCCGGTAGAAGGTAAGTAGGTAGCCTTCAAATGCTGTGGTGGGTAGAATCCCTGGTCGCACCCATGAGAATTCCTCTGTCAGAGTCACATTCAAATTTGCTAAGGATATCTCTGGAGGTTTTCAAAAAGGCCCTGGGGACTTAAGTAATGGAAACAATAGTGCATAATGACCATTTTCGCTTGTTTTGGAGACAGTCATAAAGCCAGTAGCCTTCTGATAAGATTGGGCAGTTCTGCAGTGGTGACTGTTTCAGAGACCCCCCTGAGTCTCACATTTCTCGCTTTGATCCTGTCCTCCAGGGGAGGTATACTGTGGAGCATGTTAGCATTGCTCTTTTGCAGGGTGCCAAGTGTCACATCTGTGGCTGTCTAAGCAACTTTCGTGGTGCCCACGTCTTCCTCAATATGGACAATTCTGTCAGAATGTGTGGCCACATCTTCCCTCACCCCTCCATGTCCGCCCTAAGTTCGTGAAGCGGGACATTTATGTCTGCCTTAGTGGAGGGGGCAGTATGCTGGGGGCCCCGACTGCTGGGGTAAAAACAGGTACCTGGGGAAAGGTGGATAGCCAGTCAGGCAAGCTGTCCTCATCTGAGGAAGCCGATGTAGAGGCCAGTTTAGGCTGCATGGGCCTAGCAGTCTGGCACAGGAACGTCCCAATATCTCGGGATCCAGGGCTTGGATTGGCACACTGTTTTTAAAACCTTTTGCTTATAAGCCTCCGGGGAGGTTGCTCGTAGGGCAGGTAAAATTGTCCGGTAGCTGGAGAATTTGGCTATGCCTTGCGGAGTTTCTGCTATGTGCGTCCGACTCGTGGAGTTGCAGGCACCGCCCCCCCAAAATGGCATGTTTTAAGATGACTACCAAGTATATTTATGTATGCCATCATCTGAATATATTCACTAACACACATCCTTTCCCATTAAAGGAAATTAACTTACTTCACTTAACTATTAGACCTGTCTGTAACATTTTTATATGGAAAATGACTGGAGATATGGCATCATATGGTTAAAGGAGCCATTAATGCTATGTTAGTAATATGTGCATCATGGTTGCATGCTGCCTAAGTCATAATTTTTAATTATATTTTCTGCACTCTTTCTTATGGGACCCAAAGGTGAGTAGCAATACCATGGATATCTATCTGCCTTTCTGTTTGTTAAGGGCCTTACACTTTAAAATATGTGTTTAGGTTTTTGTTTTTTTTTACATTTTTTTCCACCATCATAAATGTAAACATAAGTTGTGGATATTATTAGTCGTTGAGCACCCTCTAGTGGCAAATAGATAAAGTGATGTATTATTATTTGTAGTAAGAGAGAATAAAGGAACATACATAACATAATGAGTTAGAGAATATAAAAAAAGGAAATATAAGAAAATATATTAAAAATAATAATGTATAAGTTTATATGGGCCATCAAACTAAATCAGGTACATTTCAAGAGGACAAGGGAAGTGTTGTAAATGTATGATTTTCATCATAAACCTATATTTTGTATTCAGTAATTGTTAGTACTTATTTGGTAAATTCTCCTCTGTGAAATCACAATTTATTTGTGCAACATTTCGGCAATGCATCTTAGTCTTTGTCAAGGTATGAGGACAGGGAGACGGGTTAACTGGCAGCAGAATATTTTGATGTGACTAAGGGGCGCGGCCTTGATAATCGGCACATCTCGTTGATGGAATCTTACCACGATTGCTTAAATGTTTTAATTGAAGTCTGTATTTTTTTAAAATCTTTTTTATTTTTTAACTATAGATCTTTCTTAAATTATTTTTAATATTAGATAATGCAAATATCATAAGTGGTGCAGAGAACTTCAGGACATTAGAAGACAATGCAATTTTAGTACCACCTGTATTACAATATGTTATAATTTCAATATTATTTTAAAAAGAAAAACCATCCAAAAGGGGGCGTGGCCGACCGCCGAGCAACCTGGCAGCCTAGGAAATTGCTCCGGCACCCGGGCTCTAGGAATCTGACGACATCGTCTCCCAGGGCTCAGAAAACCCTCAAAATACGAGATGGCGAACCCCAAAGGGAAGAAGAGAACGCAGAAAGCTGAAAAACTAAACTTTTTCAACCACAAAAACGCGAGTGGCTCCAAAACCGACCGCGGCACAATCCAAGATGGCGCTGACGAACAAACGGCGGGAAACATCCCCCTCACGGGCGCATCTCATGATAGCCAGGAAAACCTAACTAAAGCACACCTAGATGAAGCGATGAACGCAATGGCTAACAAACTCATACAAACATGGCAAACCTCCATAGGACAACTCCGCAAGGAAGTCCAGGACATTGGCAACCGAACCACACACATGGAAAATAAGCTGAGCGAGTATGCAACAGCGCACAACGACATGGCCGATCATGTGGCGCGGCTGGAACAAAAAATTGAAACAATGGATGCACGTATGGCTGATGCTGAAGATCGCTTGCGGAGAAACAACCTCAGGCTACGAGGAGTCCCGGAGAGCATCATGCCTACTGACCTACAAGCCTATGTGCAAGGCCTTCTGAGGGTGTACGCCCCGGACATTCCCACGGATATGTTCCTAATAGACCGAGTACACAGGGTGCCCAAAACACGCAATCTGCCTGACACTGTCCCTCGAGACGTCCCCCACGACTCAAGCAAGTCCAACAAGACGTCTGACACCAGAATGGCGCCAAGCCTCAACACGGAACAAGTCGCCATGATCCACCAGAGGGACTAGGCCGTCCAGGCCATAACCAAGGACACGTGAGATATTAATATGTACCGCTTATTTCTATCACAAGTTTAGTTTAAGTTTTCGTGAGGTTAACTGCTTTGATTAGCATTTTATTTACCACATAACTAAATCACATTCTGCATGGTTTGTTGAATGTGGGCGGGTGGAGCGCCCCCATAGGTGACAATCAGGGTAAACCTCGGGCAACAAGGGGGGGCGGCATGGTACAGGTAAAGAAGGGACCGGTTATCAGAGGTGATCCTGATATCTAAGTGTTAACTGCGATGCTGATGCTATGCATACACAATAATGGTATTTCAAGACCGCACAAAGGTGCACAATGATTATGTAAGTTATCAGGACAATGTATATAGAAAGATAATTGTAAACCATACCACACAAGCAACTACTGCTTTAACTAGTGCGTCAAGCCCACTGCAACCGTGCCACCCCACCTCACTACACAGCTTTGTACAATACACCCACAAGCTATGCTGTGAGAACCGTATCCTATCACAAAGATCGACATGACAAGTGGGATACCCACGATAGGCGTCAAAGTGGTAAACTGTACATTGCCCTATTAAACCCTCCCTTGGGTCAGGCTTGACTTTTTCACCTATGCACACCTGCCAGCACTAAGACACCATGCAGACTACCTAGGTCGCTATTGAATTAAGGCTCTGAGGAGAGACAGCAACTATGTACTCAAGAGAGCCCAACGGCCACAATACTAGAGACGCTGTTTCAGTGTCCCTCCCCCATGGCACAACGCCACAGTGCCAAGACCCACGTTTGGGTCAAATTGTATATACTTTGGTTTCTATTACCCCTTCCCCCTGCCATCCCTGAACCTCTCACTCCCGGGCACAACAATGTAGTCACACAGGCGCCGTCTATGAGGCACACCATACGAACCCCGTCCAATCTACAATTCCATATAGGCATTGCAGAACCGCAAACGAGCACTACTTATCACCCACCCATCACATGAAAATATACTCACACAACTGCAGGGGACTGAACACCCCACATAAAAGGCGCATGATGCTGGAGGAAGCCAAGCAGACTCAGGCGGACATTATCTGCCTACAAGAGACCCATTTTGTTACCTCCAGGGTGCCTAACTTTGGCGCACAACATTACCCTCACCAATACCACGCAACTCACTCCTCCAAATCGAGAGAGGCCTCAATTCTTCTCCACTCCTCCTTAACAGTTGAAGCCCTAAACCTAATCAAGGACAAACAAGGTAGATTTGTAATGCTACACTGCCTCCTAAATAACCTGCCATATATCATAGTCAGTTTCTATGCTCCTAATTTACACCAACGCAACTTCCTACATAAGGTGCTCTCTGCACTCCCAACTAACCAGACTGCCCCAGCTATATTATGTGGAGATCTAAACCACCCA